AATAATAATAATAATAATAATAATAATAATAATAATAATAATAATAATAATAATATTAAAATTAAGCAGATGCCAGGAATCAAGACTGCCTTGAAGGCACCATTTTTTTAAAAAAAACAGTGAAATTAAATGAAGTACCTAATCAACTTTCTAGGCAACAGTATTAACCAACCCATCCAACTTAAATTTGATCCTCTAATAAAAAGAATACATTCTCCTCTCCAATCTGTCCCATCTGGCTAGTTAAAAGAGGATTTGTTAAATCAGAATGCCCAGGATGATTCAAGAGGCAGCAAAACAAGATGTACAAAATGTTTCCACTGTCCCATCTGAACAATGACATGAATGATCCTGAATGGAATGTTAGTAACCATTCCTCCAAACACAATGGTGGTAAAACATTGAACTTGGTCAGTAATAATGGTTTCCTAAATACAAAAGGGAGGAAATGGAAACCATTCTTTAAATCCAATATTTAACTATTCCTCTAATATTTAACTTGAGTCCATTGTGAAAATTTACGAAGAATCCTCCAGTATTTGTTATATCACTATGTGATGCCTGTAAATTTTCAGGGAAACTAGCCTTGTTTGATTAAGGATACTATTTTTATCTTAAGTCAGGATTTGCATGTATTTTACATCAGATTTGCATCTGATATATTGGATATAACAAAATCTTGCAATGCCTTTTTTCCCCTTTCTTTCATATCTTTAAGTCTTTATGTCTCTTAAGACATAAAGGGAAACTACATTAAAGTGAAATATTTTATATGCACAAATGAAGAAAATGATAACATTTGAATAAATTATTGGGAAACAAATAGTGCTGTTTATTGATTTTTCTGAGCAGAAAGATCGAGACCTAGAATTAGCAGCGCGAATTGGACAAGCCCTACTTAGACGAAACCATATCCTAACTGAGCAAAATGACGTTCTGGAGGAACAGTTGGGCCAAGCCTTTGACAAAGTAAGTGAACAGGTTTAAGTTTTGGGGATTTTAAGAAGTTAATGTATTGTATAAACATCTGTTGAAGTCATATTAGTTATAAAAGGTACTGATGGGAAAGCAGATGGAAACTTTCATCCTATTGATCTTAGAATAGAAGTTTTCTTTCCTAGGATGTTTCAAGTTAGTCTTTCTTTAATGAAGAAAAGTGCAAGAATTCTATATGTACGTATTATGCAGAGCTAAATATTTCAGCTGAACTCTTGCTTGTACTGTATGCTTATTTTTTGCACCATGTTTCAAACTGTTCTTTATGTATGCTGCATCCTAAACAGCAATTAAGATGTGTGTATAAAATAGGAATTACAATCGATGTAAAGAAAATAAAATTTTAGTCTAATATTTGTATGTATGTAGTTATATGTATGATATTCTCAATTTCCATGATTCTTCTATCTTAAAATAGGAAAAGGTTAAAAAACCAAGGATCCCAGAATGTAGCATTTGATTCTGCAATTTATGAAGAGTCTAGGTCTGGATAATGGTTAGATTGATGATCACTTTACTTTAGGTCCCAAGGAATAATGTTGAGATATAAATGGAATAAATAAACTTTACCTATGGATGTAATGCATTTTAATGTCATTACTTATAGGAAGCAGCTGGACCATGTATAGATATATCACATTGTAAATAAAGAATTATCTTGTATGATGAAATGGGAAACAGCTCTTTATCTTCCTATAATTTAAAAAAAGCACACTGTTGATGATGGGCTGATAAATATTTCTTTAGCCTTAGAGCTATTGACTTTTAAGCCAAAAAAAAAAAAAGTACTTCTGCCAAGGAAAATTGATATATGTTCACATTATTGTATTTTGGATAATGACAGTCCAGGAAAGAAAATATGATACTTGGAACATGGAATGAGCAAAGACACCTTCCATTAATATTTCTAAGCCTTCTTATAAAAATTGAAATTTAGGAGGGGATCCATATTTAATATCATTTTAAAAAGGGAGGGGCATTAGTGTATCCTATTGTGGTGGTGGTGGAGACAGCAGTAGAATTTTATTTTAACTTGTCTGTTGATCCACTGGAGTAAATTGCAATGTTTTCAGTAAATGGCTATGTTTAGTAAACAGAAGCCCTTTACAATCAGATTCACCAACTACAGCATGAGCTAACAAAAAAAGACGAACTGCTTCGAGTGGTATCTACTGCTTCTGAAGAAAGTGAGACTGACTCTAGCTGTTCCACACCACTTCGCTTCAATGAGTCCTTCAATTTGTCACAAGGTTTCCTGCAGTTGGATATCTTGCATGATAAACTCAGGGAACTGGAAGAGGAAAACCTATTACTTCGAACAAAGGTAACTTACATTCTTATTCCTGTTGAATATTATTAACTGAATATGAATCCAAGCATTAAAAAAAATATATATTAACATGGCTAAGGTCATGCTTGTGGAGTAAGGGATGAGTAGGATCGTTCATCCAAAAAAGGGCAGCATATAGCTCCCAAAGGATATCTCCAAATTGAAGAAATGGACATTAGAATGCAACGTAGATACAAGTGACCCCAAAGCAATTCCAACTTCACATGTGTGCTGTGAGATCTGAGATGACAGTGACTGACCAGAAGAGGGATGTAAGCTGACAGTGGATGCTTCAGTGAAAATTTTTCTGTAGTGTGGGTGCTGTAAAAAAGGTGAACTCTTTTATTTGGAGTCATTAGAAAAGGAATTGAAAATAAAATTAGTGATATTGTAATTTCTTTATACAAATCTGTAGAATAACTCTGCTAGAGATATTTGTAATGGTGTTAACCTCATCTGTCCCAGGAATCATCTACAACATACAGTGTAAGGACTGTAACAACCACTATGTAGGACAGATAGGTAGAAGGCTAGCAGAGCACATCCATGAACACCAACTAGCAGTCAGAAGACAGGATGAAAACTCCTAAACCTAATACCACATGGACAGACTAACCATAGGAAACTGTCAGCATCTTAGACCAAGCTAAATCCAAAAGTGCAAGGGAATTCCTGGAAGCTTGGTATTCAGACAAGGCAGCG